TTTTATAAGGAGGATGAGAAATTTGGCTTTAGACAGGCTGAATTTGAGCCCAAAAATTCAGTGGTAAACTGAAGACAAATAACCAGGGCACAAGTGAAAGGGATTGGAGATTGTATAAACAAACTGAACGTCCTTCATCTGAAATCCAAATCCTGAAATACTCCATAATCTGAAACTTTTTTTCTTTTTGAGCAGGGTCTTACTAAATAGCACTAGCTGATCTGTAATTCAATATCTAGACCAGGCTGGCCGGTAACTCACAGAGATCTACCTGCATCTGCCAGGATTAAAGGTGTGTGCATCTGAAATTTTTTGTACTGACTTGATACCAAAAATGGTAAAGTCCTTATCTGACTTCATGTGATGAATCTTTGTCAAAACACAGGCACTCCAAACATGTATCAAGTGACCCTCGGTCTATGTGTGTAAGGTATACATGAAACATGAATGAATGCATTTTGATGTAAAGCCTATACTCAACATAGCTCCTTAGGTATGTGCAAATATCCCAAACCCAGAACATCCTGAAACCCTTCAGGGACACTCAAGCAGTATAAAGGCTTCAAGTGGTCAAATGCAGTGGGGCAATGGCCTTCCCTGAACCCATCATCTAGTGCCAATGAGGATCCACTCTTGGCCAATCTTGTTTCATCTGTATTTTCCACCCCATGAATTCTGAAGTTCCAGATATGGAAATGGAAATTTAAAAGTATGAGCCATAAAAATGTATGTGACTCAGAGAACCTACAAGGCAAGCCTCATTTTTCAGGTGAGCAAAGTTAAAGATTACAGCAGTAATAATTTATTCTAATTTTTAAAAATGGGTAGAGCTCTATAATTGTTTGCAAACAGTTTGACTAAGTTTATTCTTTCATGAGATATGAAGAGAAAAATAATGACAAGCTAAATTTTCGTAAAATCAAAACCCACTTTAAAAGTTGCTCTTTGTGGGGCTGGAGAGATGGCTCAGCAGTTAAGAGCACAGGCTGCTCTTGAAGAGGACCCAGGTTCGATTCCCAGCATCCATATGGTAGCTAACAACCATCTGTAACTCCAGTTCCAGGGAATTCGACACCCCCTTCTGACTTCTGCAGGCACTGTACAACATGGGTGCACTTACATACATGCAGGCAATACATACTCATATGCATAAAATATATTTAAAAACTTGTACAAATAAAAATAAATCATTTTTTAAAGTTTCAAGCACTTATGTTTTATTTGTGATTTACTCCAATAGCACCACACATGCCACATATTATAAAATAAGTCCTGGAACTGACAGATAAATAAGAGAAGTATATTTACATAAGTATCATTGGCCAGTGTTTGCACTGTGTTCCTCAGGTCTCTGGGGTAATTTTAAGTATGCCTTGGAGACTACAAAAGAGTCCTATCTGTCCAGAGTCAGTTTACTTCAAGCTGCCAGAAAAGTCACCTTGGATGACTTGCCACCTCTGGCACCATACCTATGTTAATGGAGAAAATTTTGTGTTGTTTGTGGAGACTAGAAACAGGGCACTAAGAGATGTGTTGATATGAATTCCAGAGCAGGGTACAACCTGAGCAATAGTCACCCACCAGAAGAAAACTGTAGTTTTACTAGAACATGAGTTAGTAAATGAAGCTTAGATTCATTCAAGTAAACTAAGTTGATCAGTGAGGTTACAGCTGAAATGTGTGGCAATGCTATTTTTTAATAATTTTTTATTGACTTTTTGGGTATTTCATACATAAAATCATCTTTATATCCCCTTTCTCCTTCCCCTTTGGCACCCTCCCATAGCCCCCCACCCACCACCGCCACTGGAGTTCATACATTCTGTCATTTGTATTAAGGCCTATTATGTAAAGTTAGTGTTCCCAGATGTCCCTCAGTGCAGGTTCACTCACTGGGGTTTAGTCAGCCTACCTAGAGTCTCTCCCTTCGAGATTTGCTCTTCCTCACCCATCAGTAATCAGCTGCCAATAATTCTTCAACTAAGATTGAGGCTTGCTGTTCATTTCCACAGTTCTGTGCTGGGTTTTTGTCTGCCTAAGTTTGCATGGGTCTTGTGCATGCTGACACCATTGCTGTAGGATTGTATGAAAAGGGCCCCTAGTGCCAGTAGGACTATTTCCATATGGTCATGTACCTCCTCCCTGGCTCTTACAATCTTTCCACCCCCTCTTCCACACTACAAATGGTCCTTGAGGCCTGGGTGGGTGGGCCTTAATATAGGAGACCTGTCCAAGGACCCACACTCTCTGCTAACTCTTATTCTGTGTTTTGGCCATTTGTGGCCTTTGGTGTTCCTGGCCCTCTGTTGCATGAGGGAGCTTCATTGATGAGAACTGAAAGATGCATTAGTGTTCTCTCCATCCCTTGTTCTATGTTCTATAAGTCTTAGGTGTAGAGGTTATATCCTAAATGTGCCACTTAGGCTTGGGCAATTCACAGAGAATCTCTTGTGTGTGACCAGTGGTGTAACTGTAATTATCTCTATCTGTTGAAAAAGAAGCTACTTTGATGGGTGGTGACTGGGAAACCTGTCTGTACATTTAAGGATTCATATTTTGCACATAGTAAGAAATTACATTTGTCTAGGAATATGAGGGCCTTGGGGTTTTCTCTAAGATCTATGATCTCTCGAGCTATGTGTATTTGGCTAGGTTTCCAGTACCAGACATGCATTTCCTCATGAGTGGGCTTTTAAGTACAATTAGGTAGCTGTTGATTGCCCCCAAGATAAAAGAGTCACTACCTCCCAAAAAGTACCCCTAAGATAAAAGTGAACCATCCCTGCATCTCTGAAATAAAGCCTACTTGATCATGGTGAATGTTCTTTTTGATGTACGTCTGTATGCAGTTTGCAAGTATTTTGTTGAGAATTTTTGCATCTATGTTCATTAAGGATATGGGTCTATAGTTTCCTTTTTTGGTTGTGTCTTTACCTGGTTTTGGTATTAGAGTGATGCTGGGTTTGTAGAAGGAATTTTGGAGTTCTCCTTCCATTTCTCTTTTTGAGTAATTTAAATAGTATTGGTTGGAGGTCTTCTTTAAATGTCTGGTAGAATTCTGTAAATCCATCTGGGCATGGGCTTTAGTCAGGAGGTTCTGTATTACTGCTTCGATTTCCTTGTTATGTGGCAATGTTTTTTGTAAGACATTATGAAATTAGGTGTGGTGGCACATGCCTTTAATCCCAGGACTCAGGAGGCTTCTGAGGCAGGCGGATCAGTTCCAGGCCAGCTGGGGCTACAGGGAGACCTTGTCTCAAAAAGACCAAAAAGACTTAAAAAAAAAAAAATGTTATGAAACCATAAACACCCAAAGAATTCCTTGACTTATAAAAAGTTTCTGATTTATAAAATGTGCTTGGTATTAGAATTGCTAAATGACACTAAAATTATCTTATAAAATTGTCATTGAGTAATTCAGATTCTAAAATTTTAAAAATATCTGTCCCACCCCTCCCTAGATACTGATGGGTTCTGGGAGAGGGGCAGTCATTGTGTTCACCTATATGCCCACTGATGAGCCCACCAAGCTCCAATGGAGAGCTTCAAACCCATGGCCACACAGACAGCCCTGCTTAAACTCACTAGGTCACAAAGCAAAATTAAGACATGAATGCTGGAAAGGGACTTTTAGAGAGGATTGATGGGTGGGAGAGAGATCAGAGGGTGGAGATGAGAAGAACCTACTTAAGAAAAGCTAGGTGTGATGGTACATGCTGTCATCCCAAAGTTGTGAAGGTGGCAACAGGTCTCAGGGATCCCTGGCCAGCCAGGCTAGCCTCCTCATCAAGCTCCAGGCCAATGAGAGACTCTGTCTTAAAAGACAAAGTAAACAGATCATGAACACCTGAGATTGTCTTCTGACCTTTACACAGACACACACAGAGACAAACACACATACAGGCACTTACATATACAACAGACACACAGAGAGATATACACACATACACAAAAGTCTGAGTAATATACTGCCTAAACAGGGACTCTTGTTTGTGAAGGCTCCCCTTGCTCAGGGATGATGCCTTAGCTTCAAAGCTTAAGTATCAATATTTTTGTGACATACTATTACATTTCCGAAGCAAATGCTATCAGTTTGTTTTTCTTTTGGTAGGGTAGTGGTGGAGGGGTAGAGATGCTGTCAGTTTTTAATGAAAATATAAAGTATTAAAGTAAGTATAGATGTATGAAAGTCAATGTCTAGCTTCTCTTCTAATCACTGTTGACTGAATTAGCAATGCAATATCAACAGAAAACTATAAGCAAAACATTAATATGACATTAGTTTGATAACCCAAAGTAAGTTTTATTTTAAAAATTGCTAACCCAGCTGAAAACAAGTGAGAACAAAACCAGACATTTCATATATCTTTAATTACTTCTGACCCCTTTTCACAGTGTCAGTCTCTTACTTTCTTCCTAATCCATTAGACAATAATTCAAGTACCAGAGTGCTGTGGGGATGAACCAAGAGCCACTGTTCTGGGTGAGACCTCTTGCTGTGGAGAGTTCTGGCTCTGACAACAGCTCTTGAACTGTTTATTTAAGAAATGGAAAACAGGGGCTGGAGAGATGGCTCAGCGGTTAAGAACACTGGCTGTTCTTGCAGAAGACCCAGGTTCGAATCCCAGCACCCATATGGCAGCTAACAACTGTCCATAACTCCAGTTCCAGGGGATCCGACAGCTTTTTCTGTCCTCTGCGGGTATTGCATGACATGGGTGCACTTACCTACATGCAGGCAATATACGCATACACATAAAATAAATTAAAAAAAAAAAAAGAAAAGAAAAACAAGGGCTGGAGAGATGGCTTAGCAGTTGGTGCTTGCTATTCTTGCAGAAGGCCTGAGTTCAGTTCCCAACACATTGGGCAGCTCAACTGCCTGTAAGGATATGATGCATCTTGGCCTTCCCAGGCATTGCATTCAATGTACAGACCCCACACTGACACAGACACACACACAAAATTAAAAGTAAGAATCTTTTGAAAAGTAAACTATCCAGAGGAGAAAATTGTATTTTATTTAGCAATTCATTTTTATTGTTTTTAATTTATGAGAATCATGAAGGAAAATAAGTCAATTATTGCTGTATAAAGTTTACTAGATTTAAAAAAGTCTTAGAGAGTCTTCTGTCTAGTGTACATTCTCATTCATTCCATCATTCAGTAATAAGTTAAATTTTGTTGATAATACATAAAACCTTATGAAAGTGGCATACCAGATCATTTTTGAGAACTACTTCTATCGTGTTTCCTAATAATGTCCATGAGGTTAGCTCCCGTGACCAGGCTGCCCTGTGTCTGTCTGTCTTTCTGCTGCTCCTTTCTCTTCTGCTCATGAAGGTAAGGGGAGTTTAAAAGCTGTGGGGGGAGAATGGATCCTGTGGGCTTCACCCTTTTGGCAACATCCCAGAAGAGCCTTTTTGAGTTGTTATTGATGAAAGTAATTGCAGTTCCATTTTGACCGAGCCTCCCCACTCTGCCAACCTGAAAGGAAATGCAAAGGAAATTTTCAAGGTGCCCTTAGAAAATCTTAAAGCCTCCTCAAGGAAAATGGAGACTTATAGATTCACATGTGTTCAGAGAAGGTTTCTCTTTGTCTGTGTGTGTTTGTGTGTGTGTGTGTGTGTGTGTGTGTGTGTGTGTATTGAACCCAAGGCCTTGAGGTTGGGTTAAGCATAAGCATAAGCACTACCACTGAGCAACACTCCTGATGGCATTCTCTGAACTGTGTATAATATATTTGTGTGTTCTGGATAGCTTTAGTTGTCAACTTGACACACTTGGGTAGAGGGAGCTTCAGTTGGGGAATTTCTCCATTGGAGTGGCCTGTGGCCATACCTATTTTCTTCTTCTTCTTCTTCTTCTTTTTTTTTTGGTCTTTTTGAGACAGGGTCTCCTTGTAGCCCCAGCTGTCCTGGAACTCATTATGTAGACCAGGCTGGCCTTGAACTGACAGAGATCCGCCTGCCTCTGCCTCCCGAGTGCTGGGATTAAAGGCATACGCCACCACACCCAGCATACCTATTTTCTTGGTTTTTGAGTGATGTGGGAGGGCCCAGTCTACTGTGGATGGTGCCACCCCTGGGCAGGTTGTTCTGTATTGTGTAAGAAAGCAGGCCAGGGGAGCAAGGCAGTAAGCAGTAATTCTCCATGGCCTGTGCTCCAGCTCTTGCCTCCAGGTTCCTGTCCTGACTTCCTCAGTGATGAACTGTGACTTGGGAGATATGAGCCAAATAAACCCTTTCCTCCCCAAGTTGTTATTGGTCAGAGTGTTTTGTCATAGCAATTGAGAAACAAACTAGAACATTGTGAAATCAATTTAATGGACTGACACCAACACATTTTGTTTTTTACTATCTTTTTAATGAAAGTTTAAACCAAATAAAAAACAAGAGAGCAGCCACATATAATAAAGGGGAGCAGTGCTCATGAGAACTGTTTCTCAGTCATGCTGTGTGTGGTGATAGGGAGAGGAACATGGCAAATATGTTCCTCACTGTGGGTGGGCTAAAGTCAAAAAGCTTGACATTTCTTGTAGTAACAAGAGCACTGTCTGTTCTATGTACCTTGAAATGTTAGACTTAAGCAATTTAATTTTTGCAGAGTTTTCATTTTGACAAAATTAAATGGACACAAATTTGTGACTGAAATACTGAAATCCATAGAAAGACACTAAATCTGCATGGCTGTAAATGCACAATGAAAACATACTGAGAAAGTCTTTGGAAGAGGAGAAACTGTCACGGTCAACTTCTGCTCACTGACAACTGCAAAACTTGAAGTCTACATTTAGAAATATGTGAGGAACTGATGGTTCCTACCAATAGGGCCTTTGTAAGAAGAAACCTCTTAAACAGTGGAAAGAGAGCTGAAGCCGTTGAGAGCACTGGCTGCTTTTGCAGAGGACCCAGGTTTGGTTCCCAGCACCCACATGGCAGCTAACAACCATGCATAACTCCAGTTCCAGGAGATCTGATGTCCTCTCTTCTGACCTCTGCCTGCATTGCATAACATGGGTGCACTTACACACATGCAAATAAAATAAACACTCATACACATAAAATAAAAATAATAAAATATTTTTTGAAAGTGGAAAGAACTAAAGGCTTTTAGGGAATGAGATTGGGGAAAAAGTGAGGGAGCAGAGCCAGGTGTGGTGGCACACGCCTTTAATCCCAGCGCTTGGGAGGCAGAGGCAGGCAGATCTCTGTGAGTTCAAGGCTAGCCTGGTCTATGTAGTGAGTTCCAGGACAGCTGGGGCTACAGAGAGACCCTGTCTCAAAAAGACCAAAAAAAAAGTGAGGGAGCAAACACTAGTTCAGTACCAGCTTTTAGTTTTATCTTATTTAATTAATATATTACTGGATTGTTCCAATAAAAATAAAAATTGCTGCAACCCACAAAAGAGAAATGATTTGCAAATGGATATATTTGATGAAAGTCTTCCATAATATACAGAAAAATACTTAAAGCTTAATAATAAAGACAATCTAATTTAAAAACTGGGCAAAGAATCCTAACATTCTCCAAATAAGATATACAAATAGCCAGGAAGTACATGAAAGGATGTTCCTGTAACAGCACTAGCCATTAAGGAAATGCAAATCAAAGCCATAACAAATTGCTATTTTATACCTATTAGGATGGCTATAATCAAGAAGACAGGCTAGGGATGTAGCTCAGCTGGTAAAGTGCTTGCCTAGCATGCACGAGGCCCTTGGTTCCATCCCCAGCACCACATAAGCCAGGCATGGTGGTGTATGCCTGTAATTTCAGCACTTGGGAGGGGTGATGGCAGGAGAATCAGAAGTTTGAAGTTATCCTTGGCTACATAGTGAGATCAAGTTCAGCCTGGAATATGTAACACCTTGAGTTCAAAAGCAGTCAGTCAGTCAGCCAATCAACCAATCAATCAAATAATCAATCAAAGAATAATGAATGTTGGAAGATGTGGAGAAATTAGAAATCTTATATGCTGCTAAAGGGAATGTAAAAATAGTGAAGTCACTTTGGAAACAGTTTGGCAGGTCCTGAAAATGTTAAACACAGAATTACCATGTGATTGGGCCATTATGATCCTAGGTACTAGCCAACAGGAATAAAAGTGAGTGGACTCAAGAACCTGTCTGTACACAAACATTTCCAGCAGCACCACTGATATTAATTGTAAGCAAAAAGTTGAAACAATCTAAATGTATAGTAACTAGTGAATGGGTCCACAAAGATGGAAAATTCATACAAGGGAATATTTTTGGCAATAAAAACTGATGTGCTGATACAGGCTATAAAATGGGTGAATGTTTGAAAACATCATGCTAAGTGAGAAAAGCAAGTTATAGGAGACCATATGTGCTACGATACCTTTTACATGAATTGACCAGAAGAGACAAATTTACAGAGGCAGAAAATAGAGGGCAGAGTGGTTAGTCAGGGATGACGAATGTGTGTTTATGTGATCTGGAATGGGGAATGACTGCTGATGGTATGGGGCATCTTTTTAGGCTGATAAAAATTTTCTAAAATTGACTGTTGAACTATATGAATATACTGAAAACATTTAGCTTTTTCGTTCAGTTTAAATGTTTGAGCTGTATAGCATCTGACTTGTACCTATTGAGATAATTTACAGTGAGATGGAAAGTGGTAGCAGGGACTGGGGTATACACATCTGTAATCCCAACTACTTGGGAGGCTAAGGCAAAAGGATGAAAAGTTTGACCTTAGTCTGATAATTTGTCAAGACCCTGTCTCAAAATTTTTTTTAAAAAGGGATGGTGATACGGTTCAGTGGTTGAGTGCTTGTCCAGCTTACACAAGGCCCTGGGTTTAATATTCAGAATAAAACGAAAAACAACCTCCAATATTCTCCAACTTCTAAGACCGTAGATGCTATCTAGTATCAGATTACTTTTCTCAGAAGCTTTCTACCCTCAAAAACAAAAATCAAGAGAAATCAGCTGGTGCTGACTGCAAAGCTTCATCTCCACTGGCTAGCTTTCATAGTGCCGAAAGGTGCTCTGCATGCTACCAGAAGAGAAAGTAATTATCAACCTTGCCCAACTGTGAACCTGATGAGCTACTACAACAGGCATGGCAAGATATGCACACTAGTGCAAGAGTGACACAATTATTATGGGAATAATCAACCATTTTCTGATTGGATTTAAGGTTGGCTTCACAAGATGGAGCGGAACCTGTGGCTAGACAGGTCACAGGCCATAGAGGAGAACCTACTGTTATTCTGCTAAATGACACAGTTCCTAATAACTTATTTTTAGCCCCATAAATGAATGCATCTCCTAATTCTCACCAGAGAAGCTTCTTCTTGCAGCAAATGACAAATAACACAGACCTACAACTGGTCAAGGTGCAAAGAATAAGAGACTGCAGAGTGCTGAGCTCTGAATGGGACACTTATATTACACCTTTCCTCCCAAGGTTTAGGAATGGAGGTAGAGAGGTGGGCAAGAGTAAGGTAAGGAACTACATGGCAACTGATGGTTGCTGGAAAAGAGTCAATTTTCTTTAAGAGTGTAATGCAGGGTAGGTTGACCAGGCTCTAGACCCACACCAAAGAGTATTTGGGGACACAAATTAGACTTGATAGGCCTTTAAAAATAGTAGAGGAGATGAAATTGAGTGTATGTGTGTGAAGTACTGAAACAAGCAAAGATACAAATACAGAAGTAGAAAAGCAGGCAGATGTAGAGTCATTCTAAACACAGTGAAGAAACCTTACAAATTCAGCAACCTGAGGCTGTCACTGTACTGCAGCACGTGAGTTCTGAGAGCCATGGAGTTGGCCTTGAGAGCACGAAAAGGTTAAATCATTAGAATCAGCATATTCTAAGAGGCAAAGAGGCTTCTTGATGCTGTAACATTTTAGAAAGATTTCTATCCAAAATTATGAAAAATTTTAAAAGATTTATTATTTTTAATGTGTATATGCATGTGTGCATGCGAGGGCAAGTGCCTATGGAGGCCAGACATGTCAGAACTCCCTAGAGTTGGAGTTACAGGTAGCTATGAGCCACCTGATGTGGGTGCTGGGAACCAAACTCAGGTCCTCTGCAACAACAGTATATATTCTTAACCACTAAGCCATTTCACCAGCCCACAAATTCTAAAATATTTGAAAGAAAACAGACCAGTTATTTCAACAATTAACTACTGTGGAATATTCAATTTCCTGATGTTCAGATAAATGAAGTGGGAGACAGAGAGAGAGAGAGAGAGAGAGAGAGAGAGAGAGAGAGAGAAGAGAGAGAGAGAGAGAGAGAGAGAAAGGGTAGAGACAGACAGAGAAAGTGGAGAAAGACAGAGGTAGAGAGGTAGAGAGAGACACGGAGAATCATTACATTAAAGGAAAACTAAAAGCGGCAATGCATTACAGACATTAAAAACATTTCAGTGGTAACTTAAGTCACTGTGGCATTCAGAGGTGACTCCAAGAGCATCAGAGAAAGGCTTCACTTGGAGGGTTTGTAAGCGATGCCAGGGAAGGAAGACAGGTAGCAGTCAGTGAGATAAGGCATCACTAAGCGAAGGCTCTATTTCTGCCAGAAAGAGAGGCTATTGTTACTTTTGGCAGCAAAGGAAAGGATGAAACTTTAAAAGGTGAAAAGACTAGAACAAATAAGGACATGAAGAGATGAAGACAAGAATCCTAAAAAACAAACATTTAAAGGATCAATTTTATTTTGGCCAGATATAGCAACTTAAAACAATCTTTTAAAACAGAGCTTTCTTTTCTGATGATAAAAGCCACTAATAGACTTACTAAAGGAAAAAAGGAAAATGAAGCGAAAATAAACCAAAAATTTGGTGTAAGTGTACCTGAGTCACGCAATGCCTACAGACGTCAGAGGAGGGCATTGGATACCCTGGAACTGGAGTTGCAGATGGCTGTTAGCCACCATGTAGGTGCAGGTCCTCTGAACCGAGGTCCTCTGCAAGAGCAGTCAGTGCTCTTAAGCACTAAGCCATCTTCCCAGGCCCTCACTTCCCATTTTTAACACACATAGTTTAGGTATACATACAGCTTTTAAAAACAAAATTTAGTTTCCATACACATAAAAGACCAAGACCAAAATTATGTAGTTGTATGTCCTGCTTTTTTTTTTTTTTTTGACTTTGCCTCACCCTGATTGCCTTATGCAATCAAACTCCTGAGCAAGCCGGCAGTGTAGGCAAAAACTCCTTACCTGATGCACATACTCATCCATGCTTGAAGGCATGTCGAAATTCACAACCAGTTTGACACTGACCAAGTCTAGGCCTCGTCCCAGGACCCCCGTGCTCACCACGACCTCATAGTCTCCTTCCAGTAGTCCCTTTCCAAAAGAGCAAAAAAGGCCAATATTCATGCTGGGCAACGTGATGCCCATCTTTAATCCCAGCATCAGAGAAGCAGAGGCAAATGGTTCTCTGTGAGTTCAAAGCCAGGCTGGTCTACAAAGAGAGTTCTAGGCTAGATAGAGAAACCTGTCTAAAAAATTCATTATTCAGAATTTATATAATTCTGATTTTAACACTTAACCTCAATATTTTTGTTACAATACCTTTTCAATAAATAAAAGTCTTACACTTGAAAAATATATGTAACTTAAATTTTTGCCAACCTCCACAGAATTTGTCTTATTAATTTACTCAGGCAAACCTCTTTCAAAGATGAGTTATTGCTCTGTGCCAAACTAAACCAACCTGGTTTCAGAAAAGGTAGATTCTGAATCAGTTATACATTTAGCATATAATCTCTAGGCTTACTGATCCCCAAACCCAGAGGTCTGAGCAAAAATAACAAACTTCATGGTCACAACTTGCCTGATGTGCTCAGTCACTGAGGTCTGCTCTAGAAACTGGCTGATAACAGCACAGCTCTTGGATATGAAGAACAGATTTATGAGAAAGCACAGGGAATGCTGAGTACAAACCTTCAGTATGTTTCTTCTTTCCACTTGGGACTTCTCGGAGTGGATGGATGTGCTTTTCAGCCCTGTGATTTTTTGAACAGCATCGCTTAACAGATCTGCACCCAGTTTGCAGTCCACAAACACTAGCACAGGAGGCCTGAAGAGCTTCTTATCCTGAGAAAACAGGAACACACATAAAATTACTCAGAACAGAACTTACTTTTCTACAAGTATTAGCACAAGCTAATTACTGAGAAGTTTACAAATACTGCTAAGGGAGAAAGAAAAAAGGCACATCCTGCTAAAACTAACGTTCTCATTTAAGTATGCACAAACAGAAGCCAGTCAACTGCTCTTTACTCTTTTCCATTATTAATATTACAAATATATTTTAAAAATTAAGTGCAGTTACATAGTTCTAAATCCTGCCCATGAGTCAATAAGCTACATTTAATTTAATACTATACTTGTAAATAGAACTTACCTGTTCTAACAAATTTGTTTAAATCAGAATAGAATAGGCAAGAAATACTTTGATCATATATATAATTTTTGAAAATAAAAGTACTTTTGAGGAAGTGTGTGTGTGTATGTGTATGCTTGAGACATGGTCTCACTCTGTAGCTCAGGCTGGCCTGAGCACAACATGCAGCCTAGGCTAGTCTCAAGGCTATCCTCTGCCCCAACCTTCCAGATGTTAAGATCACACAGGTATAAGTCACTATGCCTGATTCATGAAGAATAACCAAGAAATTTAAATATCTTTGTATAATAAGGTCATAAAAGAAAATTAGACTCTGAGCCAGGAGTGGTGGAACAGGCATCTATAACCCAAGCACTACACAGGCTGAGATAAGAGATGTGCCATGACCCTGGGCTATGCAGCAATAGAGAAGCTCCTCTCATTACTCACATTTAAGATTTCAAATAACTTTTTCTTTTTGGCTGGGTCTTCTACCCACAGGACAATCTGCCGCACGCTGGCGCAGGGCAGGTTCTTCTCCCCAGTGGTGATCCTCACAGGGTCATGCAGAAGCTGGCCTGCTAACTGTTCTATGCCACCTGGAATCGTGGCAGAAACCAAGATGGTCTGACAATCATCAGAAATGTTTTCCAAAATGTCAAGCACTTGCTGCTGAAAGCCCATCTTTAACATGGTATCAGCCTATAAAATAAAAGCATTTTAAAGTCAGTCTTAACTTGACATTAAAATCAGAACCACTCAAGATAGGGCTGAATAATTACAAACATAAAAAATTAAAAACAGTATATTTTAAAATGAAACAGAGATCTTTTTTTAAAGGTTAAAAACTAATTCAATTTTATGTCTTACAGGGCTTATACTGAGTTCAATATTGTATAACTGTATTAGTTCAACAGCGAACCTAAAAATTTCATAGTCACTTTTGAAAGAGATGTATCTTTGCTCTGGAAACTGTTATTGAGTATGTTAAAGCTGTAATGAAATGCTTATTCTAAAAAAATTTTAATATTAAAAAAAAAATTAAAAACAGAAAAGTGTATTACAATGTCAAAAGACAAAAGCCCAGCAGGGAAATTGTTATGTAAAATTAGATTATGGTATAATTAGTAGCTACAAAAATTACACATCCTAAATATCCATCAATAAGTCACTTGATAAATTATGGCAAGTCTGTGTAACGTAACTATGCTATTATGAAGAATGATCAGAAAGTCCAACAAATTGGGTAGTAAGTGAATGCCAGGGGAGAAAGCACAGGGCGCCGCATAACATAATACTCTTTAGGTTGTAAAATATTACAGGTGTATACAGTCAAGAAACTTAATTGAAGTTGTGTGTGGTGGTACACACTGATCCCAGCACTCAGGAGGCTAAGGCAGCAGTATTGAGAGTTGAAGGGTAGCCTGGAATATTTAGTGAAACCCTGAAAAGACTAAGTTGCTACCAACGGGGAGAAGCCTGGAGAGCTGTTTGTTTTTTTGGGGGAGGACCCAGGGATATTTTGCTTTTTCTTTTTTTTTCAATGCCGAGGACTAAATCCAGGTCTCCAAACATGGTAGGTAAGTGTCCCACCATTCAGGTACATCTACAAGCCCTGAATTTTCAAGAGGGTCTTGATATGTAGGCTGAGCTGGTCTTGAATTCGGGATCTTCTGGCCTTAGCTTCCCAAGTGCTGAATCTACAGGCACATACCACCTTGGCTGGTAGACCTCACTTTTTGTTTTTCAAAGTTTTATTTCCTTTTAGCCATGGACATATCCTATATAATAAAATTATTTTAAATTAAAATTTTTAATGTTGGGAATGTCTGTGGTTTAAATGCTGGCTATGGTGTGAATGTTGGTATTTCTCTAAAATTCATGTTGAAATCATACCACTAACATGAGGTTATAAGGTAGAGACTTTGGAAGATGACTATGTCACAGGGCACCACCTCATGAAGGGGACTAGTGCCCTATATAAGGGGTTGAAGGAAGCTGCTCTCCCCTTCTGCTGTATGAGAACCCAGCAAGGGGGCACCACTTTTGAAAACAGCCCTCATCAGACACAGAATCTGCTAGCATCTTGATGTTCAATTTCCCAGTCTCCAGAACTCTGAGAAATAAACTTGTCACTTGTAAATAATGTGATCTGAAGTATTTCATTGTAACAGCAGGAATGGACAAGGGCTTTCACATCTGAAAATAATTTTTATGTGTAAGAATATTTTACCTGCATGTATGTAAGTGTACCCTCATTGTGCAATGCTTGCAGAGGCCAGAAAAAGGCATCAGATTCCCTTGAACTGGAGTTAAGGACAGTTAGTTGTTAGCCACCCTATGGGTGCTGGGAACCAAACCCAGGTTTTCTTCTTGACTGTTAAGGCAGCTCTCCAGCCCCTGAATTAAAAAAAAAAAAAAAAAAAAAAGATTTATGGACCTGGGTGCAGTGGTGCATGCCTGTAGCCCCAGCACTTGGGAGGCAGAGGCAGACGGATCTCTGTGAGTTCAAGGCCAGCCTGGCCTACAAAGAGAGTTCCAGGCCAGCCTCCACTACAGGGAGACCCTGTCTCAAAAACCAAAAAAAAAAGATTTATGTAAGGGTTAGAGAGATGGCTCAGTAGTTAAGATCACTTACTGCTCTTGCAGAGGGCCACAGTTCTGTTCCCAGCACCCATATCAGGCAGCTCACAACCACCTGTAACCTCAGCTCCAGGATATCCAACTCCCTCTTCTGGCCTCTATGGGTACCCTCACACATATGACATAATACATACAAGCACACGTGTACATCAATAAAAATAAAAAATAAATCTAAAAAAAGATTTATTTATTTTTAGTGTAAGTGTTTGCCTACTATGTGTATACACAACATGAATGTAATGCCCACAGAGGTCAGATCTACTAATTCTATCTGGAAACCCTCCTCCTTACCGCTACCCCACAGGCCTGCTCAACCCTCCCTCCATCCTGGGAACCAGTTTTCTTGCTTTCAGGTTATTCTCACATCCAGAATCAAAGTCTGATGACGACACTCTTAAAATCTAAGAGTTCCCCATGCATACAGGCTGTGTGAACTCAGAAGGCCTCTTACATATTACATAATGTTGGGAAAAATACATTAATTGTGATTATTTTAAGGTGGTAGAAATATGGCTCCTCCTCTCATTTTTCAATTTACCTTCAAGATGCATGGATTACTCATAAAATATAGTTCCTACTCAAAATGAAGAATGGGCCATGAATAGTATTGAAAGAAAAACAGAAGATAGAACATATCAGAACAGAAGTCACATAAAATGATAATTGTTTTGCTCTTGTATGTATACAACACAATATTCATGCGCTGACTCTGTATGTATGTGTGTCTGTGTGGGGCTGGGAATAGAACCCAGAACACCTTGTATGCCAAACACACATCTCCCACTGAGATATACTACAGCCCATAAGGCTTATTATTAGTATTATTATTATTAGACAAGTTGCTATGTAGCTTGGGCTGATCTGGAACTTGTAGCACTCTTCCTGTCTCAGCCTCCTAAGGACTGGGAGTATAGGTGTGTGCCACCACGCCTGGCTTACACATTTTTGAGAGTCATTATGAGCTGAGTGTGGTAGCATGCCTTTAATCCCAGCGCTCCTAAATTCTCTGTGAGTCTGTAAGATCAAGGCCAGCCCAGTATACATAGTGAGTTCCAGACCAGCTATAGCTATAGGGAGACCTTGTTTCAAAAGGACCAAAAAAAAAAAAAAAAAAAAGTAAATCTTAAAACATAAAAAATAAGCTATTTTTAATTGAAAATTATGGAGACCATTGTAGATTGCTACCTAGTTGGAAGAAATAATAGAGGACATTTGCTTAGCCCTTGCCCTGTTTTTCCCTGTGATAACATCTTCCATCACTGCAGGATACTGTCACAGCTGGGATGTTGGTTTAATCTACTGATCTTACTCTGTTTTATTTGTCCTTGTGTGCATGCATATTTGTGTTTAAATTTTGTTTTGTTTTGTTTTTTCTTTCTTCTTTGATTGATTTATTTTTTTAATGGGGCTTTTGGCTACTCTAACATTCCCCCCTCTGAAGAGGTAACCCTAAAATCTTTTAAGGATTAGTTAAAAGC